CTCTCTCTCTCTCTCTCTCTCTCTCTCTCTCTCTCTCTCTCTCTCGGTCTCTCTCTCTCGGTCTCTCTCTCTTACTCTCTCTCCCTTACTCTCTCTCTCCTCGAGGTAGGGGGGGTCAATTTTTTGTTTTTGGTGCCTATGATTTAACATGGGAGCGTGTACACCCAAGCACACCCAACTGTGTGAATGTCGCACACTTGTAGGTAAGTGAAATTCCATGCACAATTGGTTTTGTGGTGTGCTTGTGCGTTCGTGCCTATTTGTTTATTGTGCGTCTTGAGAAAACGTTTGAAAAGTTTGTGTGCGAGGGGACGCGGGAGGAGGACACTCACCCTGCGTCCTAAGTATGTGTGTACGCACGGGGGACGCCTGGCCACAACGACTGGTAATAGACGGGATAGTGTCCGGGGGGGAGGGCAGGGCGGGCAAGTTTATGGGCTACGGAAATGGAGGGAGAGACGCTGAGCGAGAGAGAAGGGAAGGTGCGCGTGAGAAGGGTACGAGAGAGAGAGAGAGAGAGAGAGAGAGAGAGAGAGAGAGAGAGAGAGAGTAAGGGAATAAGGAGAGACCCAGCATATGCCGACGACGGGGCCGCGACGACGAGGACACCCTGAGCATTCAGAAACACGGGGCGGGCGGTCCCGGCGCTAGCACCGCGTAGCGCTCGAGCCACCCGGGTAATTACATTGCACATTACACCACGACTCTGTGTGTGTGTCTGTGTGTGTGTGTGTGTGCGTACCACGAGTGTCGCATACTTCACCAGGCCTACGACATAACTGTAAGTGCCCTCTGACGCCCATTTCGTAAGCAGGCAAAGTCTGCTGCTCCCTTCTCAAAGCGCACCTGAAAGGCAATCTACAAGGGGTGCAATGCCACCGGACACTGAATGACGTCACATTATTTTTCATGTGTGATTGTACACAAAGCGCGTGTATACCATATGATTGTCGAGTGGGAACGAAAACGGAACACTGCAAAAACTCAATTCGAGAGGAAAGTTCACACATTTTACTTGATCAAATTTGCGAATGAGAATTCTAACGCCTACAATTAGTGCGCGACATTCACACGCGTTTGGTTTTTCGGTACAGGTTAACTGTTGATTATCGTTTGAGCTGAGAAGGCACCCCTGCGGTGACTTTTAGGGCGCGTTGACTTACAGCGCGCCCCATAAGGCGACCAGCTCCCGGCCTTAGGGGTCGGACCCGGACACGACACGCGTGCCGCTGCGGTCGCCGACGGGGGCGCGCCGTGTGAGGCGTTTGCCAAACGGTCGGGTTCGGGGGGTCCGCTCGCTCGCATATTTTCCACGCGCGCCCCCTTTTCCGAAAGTTGTATAAGTCTCGGTTGATGTCGAAGTTATGTTATATGGGCTGCCGTATGGCCATTTGGGCCGATGATAGCACGCGGAGCACGCCGGGCCGGCGAGGTAAGGGCCGGCCTGCCGCCGCCGCGCGCCCGCGCCCGCGCCCGCGCGCGAACTTTGGGGGTGAATTATGGATTCTTCAAAGTTGGCCCCCGAAAGTTCTCCCTTCCCCCCTTTCTTCCCCCCTCGTTCACTCTCTTTCTCTCGCCCCTCCCTCTCCCACTCATACTCGTCGTCGCGTTCTCGCTCACCGCTGCTGCTGCATGCTTGCCGCTTTCGTTTTCCGCTTCCGCGTATCTATCAGTGTAAATCAAAAAGCCCGCGCCCCTCTGGCGCCGGTCTGGGAGTCACGTGTGATTGAGACACCCCCATCCCCCCCTTCCTCCTACTTCTCCGCCTGGTCCCCACATCACACCACCGACCCTCGACATGAGGAGCACGTAGTCTCCAGAGGTACAAGATAGGCTACCAGCCGCTGGCGTACCCCCC